AAGTTACCAAGTCCTACACAGAAATCACAAAGTTTTAATATTCATTATTTTTTTGGTGAACGTAAAAAAACAATTCTCAGATAAAAATACCTTACTTGGTGAACATCAGTCAACACTCTCCCGATAACAATACCTTTCTTGGTGAAGGTCAGACGACACTCCTCCCCGTTTTCTAGATTGGTGACCCACAGGTCATTCTGGTTAATGAACGCCAGGATCTGGGTATTGGTAGGGCAGATCTTTGGGTCAAGTCTGGCTCCCTCCACCCGGGTCCCTATGTTGACAGGGTAAACTGGCTCTGTGGTCTGAATTATATAAAATAAAGTTTCTAAACAGACCGAGCCTTATTCAAGAAACCAAGGCCTCACTGTACCGGTACTTTGTTTATTAACATGCTTAAGAAAGCTTCTATCCAGTACTTCTACATTTTATTTTTCAAGAAAGTCATAATAATCCTTTTTGTTCAGCTGGTTGACAAATAAATTTTTTTGAGAACTTGTCCACAGACATCAAGCACTTGCCCTCAAGCATATGATGGTCAAATTTCTCTTGCTCTGTTATCTCAATATTTACTTGTTCCAGACACGAAATCTATAAAATTGGGGTATGTCTTTTAACCACAATGAACCACAAGAACACCTAAAGGAACCATTGAATAAAACTGAATAAAATAAAGATTACTCTTATGACAAAACAATTGTTTAGATTCTATACATCGTTGCAAACCACGGCTAAAATGTACGATACTCTCCCATCAGGGCTCAACATTAACGCTTGTCCGCTTGTCCTGTACCAAGGAAAAAAAATTACGGACAAGTGAATATTGCTGGGCACTTGTCCGATTGGACAAGTGATTTTTCTATGTAAAGAAGTCTTCAAATAATAATAATCATGAAATAAAAAACAACTATTGTAAAGTTTATCGAGTAAAAACGGAAGCAGTACATAAACCTGAATTTCGATCTCGATATCAATCGCTATGTAAGTTCACACTTGATAGGGATCGATGTTCACTAATTGCAGCCAAACTGTTGCATGGCATGGATCTTACGACGTTTGCGAGTTTGGAATATATTTTATTGATATTACAGATTCACTTGCGAACATTTATGCTGTTGTCAGGACAGGAAGTCTAGATAAAATTTTGTTTTATATGTGTTTGTCTTATTTATCAATAACAACAGTAATAAATCAAGCACATTTAATTTTTTAATTGTTTTCAAGTTGACATAACAAGAGATTCATTGAAAAATTTTCGGACAAGTGAAGTTGAAGTTCGGACAAGTAAATATCTTGGTCACTTGTCCGAATGGACAAGTAGGAAAAAAAGTTAATGTCGAGCCCTGCCCATTCTGGCCGTGGTTGAACGAGGAGAGAATTCTTCGTAGCTCATTAAAGAATTGACCAATGCGAGTAAAGCATAGTCGGACATTGAACTTTATCGCAACCTTTCAATATCCAATTGCAGTATATGAAATATTCCTTGTATACCAGTCAGGGGTGTGATTGAAATCCATCATTTTTAAAAATGATGATTTTCAGTCATTAAATTGATTTTTAATAATGATGGAAATTCATCTTTTTTTAGTAAAATGATGAAAAACAGTCATTTCTATTTTGAAATTTATTTTAGAAATAGAGTTATCTCTGATATTAAAAATGACTGTTTTTCATCATTTTTTATCAAATTGTTAGGTCTGGGCGCACTTAATTATCTCATTAGTTTTACGGGGCCAATAAATTATTTTGGTTTCAATTACTTGTCAAGATGTTTCTCTACACAAGGGTCTATGGCAGGATAGTGTACTATATCTAATTACTGTAGTAAATGGGATGGGAAAATTGACTTGAGAATGGAAATATGATGAAAAGACGTCATATTTACAAAAATCAGAAAATTGTGTACATTATATACTTAGAAGAAATGACCATTATCCATCATTTTCAAAAATGACTGATTTCAGTACCACCCCTGACTGTATACTGTTGATGTCAATTGTTGCGATGGAAACAAAAATTCCCACTAACTGAATATGACGTCACAATAGAGAGGCGTAAATATTCAAGATTATGAAACTTTTTATGATCAAGCAGCCACAGATAGGAGAGAGCTTTATGCGGACTCCGGACCGTGGCTTGAGACGATAGATTCTATAAGATAAAATCATAAGTTATTCCTTATCTTAAATATTGATTGAATTTTTAGTCACCTGCCCTATGAATATCTGCCTATTATAACTTCACTTGACCTCCTCTAGATTTCACATGCCTTGGACATGTTGGACATCGTGCAGTGGGATTTGCCAGCCCCTTATTACTGTAAACCAACTTTTATTTGCAAGTTTCGAGACCTAGTTTATGTCGTGAATATTAATTGCTGTGAACCATTTATTTTGCTTTGTTTTGTAGAAAATGGCTTCCTTATTTGTGAAAATTAATAGCACAATTGATTTCAAACTAATGAATTGCAAATAAAAGATGATGCAAATATTAGTTAGTTTACAGTACATGGGGTAAATAAATAATAAAAGTCACCGTGACGTCTGTATCCACACAGGTGTACAGGGAGTTGGAGGCTGGGAACACAAACTTGCCCTGCCGCTCTATCAGTTCATACGAAGTGATTCCGTATGTTCCCATCCGCTTCCTCTCTCTCATCAGCTGTTCCTCCCGAGACAGCTGCGATGTGGGAAGGCTGGCCGAGAACGATTCCAACAGAGACCACTGTGGTAGGACACTGGGCACGTCAGGAACAGCCGATGGAAGGTCCACGTACAGTAAGGTATTCTCCCGTCCCTTAGTGGTCATACCTAAAAAGTACAGTCTTGTCTTGGTGTCACTGGGGGTGGTTTGTGTGCGGAAATGAAACGAGCCAGGAACTCGACTCGCGAGCATGGTTATGAGTTTACGACGCTCGATCACATTTTGGTGCAGAGATCGCCATGACTGCGGACAGAAGCTGGAAATTTGACCTATTGTCCCAGAGGTCACCACCTCTGAGAGGTCAGGGGGTATCTCAGTTGCCATGGCCACAAAAGGTCATTTGTTTTCTAAAGATCAGTGACTTGGGTTCATGTTTCTGGTCTTCTTTGATGGGCCTTACCAACATTCAATCTGACTGGGTATTACTTGTTAATCTACAATAAATGTAATCAATATTTTATTGTAAACAATAATTTGATTTTTACCCTCAATTTTTTTTACAATCCCTAGAACATATGCAGAATGGCCTAGATCATATTGACTTTTTTTGGCGTGAAGAAAAATTCATAAACATGACACGAAATGTCAATGGCTTTTCCCAAGATAATTCGAGTTCGAAAACCAAACTACTTTAAATATTCAGTTCAGATTTATTTCTACACATTCATTGCCATAAATAAAAATAATTTATCAAAATAAAAGATTACTTATTCATCTCCTGTCAAAATTCTGACAAACTTCTTTCTTTCTGTCTTTAACCGACAATTTGCAGAACTAAATAAAAGCTAAAACCGCGTTTCGTTTTTCCGGATTTTAAAACAACGGGTCTCGAGGGCATGGCGATGGGTCGGGAAAAAGAGAGACTTTTCCATATTATAATTTACCTCAGATTATGAATATATAATTTAATTTTTTGCTTTGAAAGGTTGTAAGGAGGGGTCGGTAATATTGTTTTACAAGCGTACAAGTTGAAGAGAAGGAAGGGGGGGGGGGGGGGGGGGGGGGTTAGACACATAAAAAGTCGTTTAACATTGTAATGTATTTGTCTCTGTACTGGTTTAAATAGAAAAATTGAAAAATTCAATGAATTAAAAAAATTTTATGCATTTTTTTTTCATAAGAAAAAAGGCATTTAAATGAAGATAAATTTCATTTTTCTATTCAGCTGCCAAATACAGCAATCATAGGTTAACTTTTGTAAAGGAACTTAATTGATAATTACTTTTTCTAGAGAAAAATATAAAAAATGTCATATAGGGAAAAAGTTTAGCTTTGCTACAATAGTAAGTAAGTAAGTAAGTAAGTAAGTAAGTAATTTATTTATTTATAGTGACATGTGTACATAATTAAATTCGTTTGTTTACAGACCGTATAAAACAACAATCAACACCTGGCCCATCGGGCCTATATGCCACTTTAAACACAAAATTGAAATGCAATATATAAAGAAAATAAAGAGCACAACGTTAAGAGAATAACAAAAAAGTGCATGAAAAATAAACATAATTGTAATAAATATATATATATTCATTGTCCAAAAATACAGAAAATGGCTTAGATCTACTCATTAAATAAAAAAATGTCATATATATACTTGTATCTAGAAATAATTTTTATCATAAAATTAAATGGATTGTAAAAATAATTGTATAATTTACGCATCTGTGTTTGCGTCAATGAATATTTATTTATTTTGTGTATGTTGGGTAGGATGTAGAGTTTATAGAAGTTTGCAAAATAAAGGCAAATCTGAGGTCGAATCTCTATAATGACCTGAATGAAATGTTATAATATTATAAACAAATTATACATTAAAAAAAGATGTCCTGTATTTAGAAATATTCTTCAAAAATCTGTATTTAGAAAGTGAATTTATTTGAAAGAATATATATATATATAGTTTGTTTGCTTTTTTTGAAGTGGGAATTGGCATGGAAGACATCCCCTCCCCCGAAATTTCATATGCACGAAAGGTATATAAGTAAAATTTTTGTAAGTTTATTCTCTAAATAATATGCTGGTTCAGATATGGTTTGTACAATGTATTTTATTTCTTTCCCATTAAAATAATGTTTCGATAATATGGTATTATGCGTTAGATTTCTTTTCCTTAAAATTCCATTCACACGAAATGTGTTGAAATATGTCATTTTCTTCTTTGACTTATTGTTTATAGATATGATATTAAAACATAACCAACAATAAGAGATAAAGGTGAATTATCTACACTTTTTCTCTGAAAAATGGTTAATCACTATATACTTTTTATTTTTAACCCACCCGCCGGGCCAAGCCCGAATTGTACTTGGCGATCAGGAGGGGAAGGAGATAAAGGGGCGCTGCGGAGCATTATTCACAAATATATATTTTTTTTTCCTATTCAATATTTTCTCTAAATAAGTAACAATAATAAATTATTGCTATTTATTGAGTTGCAATATTGAAAAAGAAAAAAATATATTGTTAATTCTTAGACTAATAGTAAATACGTATTTATTTTTATTGTTTATGATCCATTGTGGTTCCATTCTCTGTAAGAACCTCTCACGTATATGTTTATACATGTAATATATGACATATAAGTTTAAATGTTGGTGTATGGAGGTTGAGGTGGGAGAAGTTATTCCGAATTAAAGGTTTTCTAAACATTAAAAAGATTGTTAATCTTAAGAGATACTCAGTACATAATAAATTTACTTCCATAAAATGAATTTGTAAAAATAAATATGGTTTTGATATTTAATGTATAAAGTTGCATATCATTTACTATCGAAAAAAACGACAGGTCCTTTTTTTAGAACATGGAATTTTACTTATCCCATAAAACATGTAAAAACGTACTCTACACAGTTCGTGTATTATATTCTGAAAGTGAAAGACATTTTTGAAAATACTAGTAGGTGATGTATGAGTCTAGTTTCAACATATATTTTATGCAGCCAACATTTACTTGAGGAATTGATAAAGTTTAAAAAGGGTATCTTTTTGGGTCGATTTTCATCCGCTATAAGTTTTAAAAATATTCTCGACTATCGTCTCCATCATTTGGACGCATGCCTTTTTCACACATATCGAAGCGATTTGATGAGATTCATTTCCATTGTTTACTTTACTAATAATTATTTCCCGGGCGACAATTGATGATTACATCAATGATTTCTTGTAGGCCTATAGATTGATATAATGTTCAGGACCCGTAATGCTTGCAGTTCATCTGAGATCTCAAATTTAGCAGAGTTACCTCGCTTTAACCGATATGGCCTATGTTTCTTAATTCTTGTGAGGGTGTATATGTCTGTGACAGAGAGAGAAGGGGTGTATATTGATCTAAATAAATTCCGTTCTAACCTTGTAGAATTTGTAATACCATTGGTCATTGTCCCTTCTTGTATCTTTTCGTGATCGGCCATAGTGATTATAGACTATTAGACATAATTTCCTAATAAACACACTGAAACACGTTGCTTTTTTTCTTTATTGAAACATATGGAGATAACAAACACTATTCAAGATCACAAAGTCCATTAAACAATAAACATAGGAGCAGTGCAAACACGGACCCACAATTAAAACATCGGAGGTGCATGGGATCAGGTGCCATAGAGGAGTGAGCATCCCAGGGCTGTCGACCGGTCACACCCGCGCTGTGTGCTCCTTGTCATATGATCGGGAAATAACCGGAAAATCCGTCGCCAATCCAGTGTATAAATAATGGACTAACAATAAGTATGAAAAACGTAGATCGATCAGCATTTGAGTCAATGATAAATTGTACATGTTGTATAAGCACGTTAGTCTCCTCTGAGGACACAAAACATAATATAAAACATAAGTAATACACAATAATTTAATTCTGGTTGTAACGATGTATTTGATTGGATAAAAAAATTATTTTATATCGTATAAAATGGGTTGCCTACGTCACAATGACTTGCGTCAAAAACGTATCAATCTGCCTGTCGTTACATTTAAATTTTGTACAAATTGAAGTCATTTTTTTAGAACAGTCATCTTTATTTCTTACATCAAAAAAATTAAATGAATGAAAATTAAATTATAAGGAATGAATTTAATAGCTACCCATTTTATACGGTATAAACTGGATTGGAACAGTTTACGCTGTTTTATTCCTTAAATATAAGTCATATACAACAATTTTATTTTAGACATTTTACCCATTCTCAGATTCCCGTTGGATGATACTTCTCAAGCGTAAAAAAACATTTCGGGACCCAGGAAAATTTTACTTGGGGAATTGAATAACATTATTGTTTGCGGAATCCTGCAGATTATTTTATATACAATGAATACCCCCTCGTAATTTGTTCCTGCATGATACAAGCAACACACCATGCAGGGGCGTAGCTGCCTATACGCCAGCACGCCATGGCGTGCACATCTTTTAGTCCAAAAAATAAAAATTACTGTGCATTTTTATAAAATTTATTATTAAAAAAATGATTATATCGTCATATAAAAAATTAAATTCCTAAAAGATTCCGTGTAAACTTAATATGCCTGCAGGCCTAACGTTATATATGTAATACCTATAGTTAATCCGGATTTACAAACTCTTTTCATAAAAATTCCAATTTAAATGCGCGTAACTGTATTTCCGATAATGAAATGTCTGGCATGGTACGTATTATACAATCTAATCAATAATGTCAAAAACACCCGAATTTGCTGGATTGAAATTGTTTTGTTTTATTTTCATTATTTAAAAATTTGACAAAAAATGGAACTAAAAATACCTTTTTTAAAGTAATCACAAAAATTCAGACAATGCACTTGATTTTATAAAAAAAAAAAAAACATAAATATTTTTTAAATATTAAGAGATCTTTTATTTTTTGGTGTCATAAATCAAAATATCGCGAAGTTGACTTCATCTCGTAGCATACGTTATATATTTAAAAATACCGTAAATTTTGTTCAGTCTAAACGTGAAAACCCAGGAGCTTCCGGGGGCTTCGCCTCCTGGGCCCCCCCCCCCCCGGGGCTTCGCCCTGGACCCACTGGGGGCCTCAAGGCGGCCCCCCCAGACCCCCTGCCTTTTTTGGCGTGCACATCATTTTCGTCTAGCTACGCCCCTGCCATGGAAAATTTCCGTGGGGAAAATAAACATTGTTATTGTTGTGTGACTCTGTATGTTATTTGTTCATGCGTGATACGTGTAACACATCGTACTGTCACGTTGATTTTCGGGGGTGTACGTGAACTTGTTTAATCTTAGGGGAATACTCGTTTTGGGGAATTGTTTTACTTTATTCCTAATCTGGATCACTCTACACGTGGGGTAAATTCCTGATGTGGACTGTCCTCTACGTGGCTGTAAACATTCAAAGAATAAAGAATATTATATACCCAAGTTCCGTCGTCCGCACAACATGTTTTTAAACGTGTTTGTTTGTTTGATTTTATTTTACTTTAATCTTCTTGGTTATTTTTTCATACGTGATGTATGTAACGCACAGCAGTGTCTTAACTGACCATTCACATTTTATATCAAAGTTCGGATGTTAGATGACTGACTTCAACAACTTGTGTATTTAAAAAAAAATACACATGATACCTAACAATCAAATGACGTCCAAAAACAGGCACACGCATCCTTTTGTCATTTCAAAATATTCAGAGTTTAAAAATTAAATCAAGGATTAGATCAAGCTTAGTTTCAACAATCTATCACCCAATAAATATGTATACATTTAGTAAATAAATAGAAATCAAATGTTTGCAATTTTAACATGTTTAATGATAGAAAAA